GATGGGAGACCCCCAAAAGCCTCGTGCACAGGGGGTGGCTCAGACCACAATGCGTTTTATTTACATTGTACACCTTGAGAGAAGACGCTTAAATAAATCTGCAAAGAATTGAGCATCTCCAAGAGAATAAGTTACCAGCTGCTGCTGGGCCACAGCAGCTCCCACCAATGCCATGGGTGGCAGGGAGGGGGTCCCCAGGGGTGACAGTCCATAGATCCCGGCACTGCACGGTAGCCCTGTGCCGCTCCACGTGCCAGGAGGAGAGCAGTCCACAGGCCTTGTGCCCTGGCACAGACAGGCCACAACAGCTAAAACACAGCAGGTAAAACACCGGAGGCGTCCGGCACGCGCCAGCTGCCCGGCCGGCAGCAGCGGTTCCCTTTTGGCACGAGGGCTCAGTGGTGGCAGCAGCTGTAGAAGTAGGGACTGCTCCTCTGGCCCAAGTTGACACTCCTTTCCTCTGGAAGAGAGCAGGAGCAGCAGGCTGCCAGTACATCCATGCCACAAGATGCTGTGTGGCAGCCCAAAAGCCCCTGGTCCCAGGCGGGGCCTCAGCAGGTCCCCTGGGGAGGGTTCGGTGCCCCATGGAGAAGCAGCAAGGCCCAGGGCCACGGCACAGCCCAAGGCAATGGCACAGCCCAGGGCAGGAGGCACAGCCAGGCTGAGCGTGGCTGAGCAGGCCTGGTGCAGAGCTGAGCCAGTCCTGCAGCCTAGCGAGGCTCCTGGCTGACCAAGGCCACCATGGCCCAGCTGGGTGGACATGCTGAGCCTGGCCTAAGGAGGGATGAGGATGCTGTGATGGGACCCAACCTTCACGGGACAACCCCAGCACAGAGCTGCAGCAGCCCCAAGCAGGGCAGAAGTGAGGAAGGGCCCTGCCAGACCCACCATTGCTCATCCTCCACACTCTCACTGGAGGCACAGGCACCTCCCAGCAGAGGAGAGCTGCCTGGGGAGGGACAGCTCCTGCCTACTCACCTGTCATCACCTGGAAGGCGGAAAAGTTGACGTAGTCCTCGGCCACCTTCTGGAACAGCTCATCTGGGAGGGAGAGGGGACACAGTGGGTGTGGGTGCCTCTGCTAGGCAGAGCCCCCAGCCCTGCTCTGCCCAGGGCACGGCCCCAATGAGGGGCTACTCACCCACGCTCCGGCCCGTCTTACTGGAGGTCTCAAAGTGGTCTGCTTTGATCTCTGAAACAAGGGTGCAGGTTGGCACTTGCTGCAGGTGCAGGATATGGCCCAAAGGCCTCAGCTGCCCCCAGAGTCACCTCTCGGGCACAGCTACTGACAGGGGGCTGGCAGGGATCCATGGCAGGGCTCTTGGCCCCTTGGCCCAGCTGGCCCCGTGCCTGCCCATGTCAGGACATGCCGTGCCCAGGGAGGTCCCTGGTAGAGCCGGCACCTCACCGCACACAGAGCCCTGGTGCCACCAGATCTGCTGCGGGCCCAGGGCAAGGGCAGAGCCCCTTGCACACAGATCCCATTCCCCATGCCCCCCAACCCCTCAGTGCTGCGAGAGGCCCCAGGAAGGGCCAGCAGTGATTGTACCATCAGCATAGTCCTGCACATCGTGGAAGTCAACTCCCCGCTTCCTCCTGTCCTCCTCCAGCAGGTCACACTTGGTGCCACACAGGTAGATCCGGCAGCCCTGGGGCAGAGAGAGGGATGGGAGGGATGTGCCTACGTCTCCATCAGCGGCCCCCTGCCCCAGAGTGAGGCTGTGCAGCCCCCAGCACCCCTGTACCTCCTCGCAGTTCTGCAGCTCGTTCACCCAGAACTTGGCTCGCTGGAAACTGCCACTGTCAGTGAGATCTGGGGAGCGAGAGGTGTCAGGGTCCATCCAACACCTTCCTCAGTGCCTGACCCACCAGTGCTGCCACCACCCTGTCCCAGGATTCTGGGACCTCCCATCCTCTGTGCCCTTACCATAGCAGACAACAGCAGCCCGGGCCCCTCGGTAGTAGATGCGGCTCATGGCCTCGTAGCGCTCAGAGCCAGCCGTGTCCTGTGGGACACAGGGAAGTGCTTCGCAGGTGACTCTTGGAGGCCCTTGAGCCAGGAGGTGGCTGGGGATGTCAGCACAGCCCTTGCCTCTGCACTTACCCAGATGCCCAGGGTCACTGTCTGCTCCCCCACGGACATCACCTTGGCCACGAAGGCAGCTCCAATCGTCTGGAAGTGAAGCAGGAAGAGCAGTGGGGACCGGCCCAGGGATGCCCAGCGCACCTGGGCCTGGGAACATGGCGGGAACTGGCCCGGGAACACGGGGAACCACACCCGGGGATGTAGAAGAGAGCAAGGAAACAAGGGGACCAACCCCTGGGCATGGGAGGGGTGTGGAGGGCTACAGCCCGGGCATGGCGGGGGGGACACCACGAGAGAACACCGTGCCAGGGACGTGGTCTCACCATGCCGGAGACACGGCGGGGAAAAGAGGGGACCGACCCGAGGGCACGGGCGAGATACGGGGGGCACCAGCTCGGGGATCGGGAGGGGTGAACACGAAGGGACCACCCTGGAGGACATGAGAGCGACGCAGGGGACACCGTCGTGAGTCCGTGGGAGGCACTGCGCCGGGGACACGATGGGGAAACGAGGGGACAGACCCGCGAGCGCGGGAGGGGTGGAAGGGTCCTATCCGGGGCTGGTGGAGGGGACAACACGAGGGTACAGCGTCCCGGGCATGTGGAGGGATACGGCGGGAGAGCGAGGCCACCGACGCGCGGACGGGCCACACGAGGGGCTCATCCCGGGCAGCCGCGGGTGACGCGATGCCGCGGAGGCGCCGCCGCAGCAGCAGCAGCAGCGCTGCCGGTGCCCGTGTGCCACTCACGTTCTGGTAGGGCCCGGCGCGGAAGCGGCCGTGGGCGCAGCGCTCCACCAGGCTGCTCTTGCCCACGCCCTCCTGCCCCAGCAGCACCACCTTGGCGTCCACCCGCCGCCCGCTCATCCTCGCGCCGCCGCCGCGGGCGGGGCCGCTCGGGCGGGGCGGGCCCGGAACCGGGCGGGGCGGGCCCGGACGTGCGCAGGGCCGGGCGGGGCGCGCGGGCCGCATGGCGGCCGCCCAGCAGGCGCGGGCCTGAGCGCCGGGCCCATGGGGAAGTACTGCGCCAGCCTGGGCGTCCTCAAGGGGCCCTGGGACCAGGTGTTCGCCGCCTTCTGGCAGCGCTACCCCAACCCCTACAGGTGCGCCCGGGGCCCTCCCCGACCCCCTCTGCGCCCGCTGCCCTTCCCTTCCCCCCCTCCGCCATCCCTGTGCCGTCTGGGAATGCTGTCCCTCCTCCTCAGCCCAGCCCTTTCCCCGGGGGTCCCGCGGGGGCTCTGCTCGTCCCCTTCTGGCCTTCTGGGATGGGTGCACACAGCAGGCAGCTGTTTTCCCCCTCCCTTAATCCCACGGTGCCTGGCGGTTCCCAGTCCCGAGGGGGGCTGGCCGGGAAGTAGCAGGGCTTGATGTTTTCTTTCCCCATTTTAGCAAACATGTCCTGACCGAAGACATCGTGCACCGGGAGGTGACACCGGACCACAAGCTGCTGTCGCGGCGGCTCCTGACCAAGACCAACCGGATGCCGCGCTGGGCAGAGCGCTTCTTCCCAGCCAATGTCGCCCACTCCGTCTACATCCTGGAGGACTCTATCGTGGACCCCAAGAACCGGACCATGACCACGTTCACCTGGAACATCAACCACGCTCGTCTCATGGTAGGTGCCGCGGGTGGGAGGGCGCAGGGGGGTGGAGGGGGCCCAGCGGTGCCCACGGCCAGGCTGTGCCTTCTGCAGGTGGTGGAGGAGCGCTGCGTGTACCGGGTGAACCCCGAGAACAGCAACTGGACCGAGGTCAAGCGGGAGGCCTGGGTATCCTCCAGCCTGTTTGGCGTCTCGCGGGCCATCCAGGTGAGCACTGCTCGAGCAGCACTGTGTGCCCCTCTAAAGCTGCTGCGCCCCCTTTCTCTACCCATTCCTTGTGATGGTTTTTACACCCTTTCCCCTTATCCCCCCAGCCCTCATGAGTTCTTGGGGCACCCAGAAGCATAACTGTCAAAGTCGGTGTTTGTGATTTCTCAAGCTGGGACACAAGCCCCACGGGCTGTTTGTGACAGGGGTTGCACCTTCATTGACTTTTCCCTTTCAGGAGTTTGGTCTGGCCAGGTTCAAAAGCAACGTGACCAAGAGCACTAAGGGATTTGAATACGTGCTAGCAAGAATGCAAGGTGGGCACCAAGGGCAGGCTGGGGCTGACCGGGATGGGTCTCTTGGAGTTAGAGGTCACACTGGGAACACTCCAGTCCACGGGCAGGTTGCAGTTTGAACAGATCTGATTCCGAAATCCTTCTCCCTTGCCTTTGCCCCACATCTTGGCACAGCCTGCCCTTCCCGAGCGGAACAGCCCAGCAGTGATTGCAGGTCTGGGCAGGGGTGGAGCGCAGTGCGGGCAGGAGGGGATGTGACAGGGCAGCAGTCACGTGCCTGCGGTTCCCCTGTGCGACGTGCCCTGACGCGCCAGGGTCAAGAGTACCGGGTTCATCTTCCTCCCTGCGTGGGGAAGTGCCTCGGTGCCTCAGCGGCTGGGCAGGTCTGGCCGGCACTCCAGTGCCAGGGCAGGGCTGGGTTAACAGCTTCCATGTTATAGGAGAAGCTCCATCCAAAACACTGGTGGAGACAGCCAAGGAAGCGACCGAGAAAGCCAAGGAGACAGCTCTGGCTGCTACCGAGAAAGCCAAGGACCTGGCGAGCAAGGCAGCCACCAAGAAGAAGCAGTACGTGTGAGGGGCCAGCTGCACCAGGACAGATAGGAACCTCCTTAGATTTTATATTTTTAAAGAAACTGTACAAGTCTGACAATCAGCTGCTGTTAGACCCTTTCTGAGATGTAATTATCATTAAAGAATCTACTCCCACCTCTGATTTGGCTGGGACTGGCCTGGCTAGAGCAAAGCCCAGTGTTGCCCTCCACTCTGAGGGTCCAGCCCGCTGCCGGAATCACAGGGAAGACACAGGCCAGGGTTTTACCAAGTTCCTTTACTATAAAAGTGTGGGGTCTGTACAAAAGAGCAGAGTGGCTGTGGGAGCATGAAGGCAGGTTGCTTAATGCACTTGTTTCCCCTTTCTGTCTCTCCAGGGGTGGGAGAGCCCTCCTGTAGTCATGTCTGCAGTGGGCAGCACTGCCACATGCCTGTGCCAGGCAGCCCCCAGACTGCCTGGGGGTGCACAGGGGGAGGCGTGAGGGTTTCCCCAAGACAGCTGGGCCCTCTTCCAGTGCCTCTCCCAGTGCTTTGCAGTGCACAGTGGGTGCCACAGTGCAGTGCCAGCCCCATGCACCCAGTGCCACAGCCAGTGCTGCCCAGCTGCTGGAGGCCAAGCTGAGTGCTCACTCCCACCTGTGGCCCCTTACCCTGGCTGTGATAAGGCTGGGGGAGGCTGCATTTCCAGCAGGAAGGAGGCGGGCAGGCAGTGCAGGGAAGGCAGTGGGCACAGTCAGGATTCCGGGCTGTGGAGGCTGGAGTAGCTGTGGTCCCTCCCAGTGCCGAAGGCGTGCAGCAGGTCCCCACCAAATACCACGCCATCCACCTCTACCTCGGCATCCTCTGGGCACCGGGGAGAGCCCAAGTCAGGCCCCTGGCTCCTTTTCCTTTCCTGCCCACTCTCCATCTTTCCCCTCCCTTACCTTCCTCGGAGGGCTCCGAGAGCTGGGATGAGTCCAGGCTGTCAGCCCGTGACCGTTCCCCGTCGGTGGGTAGGAGCAGCCATTCTAGACGCCGCCGCAGGCTCCGCTGCCGGTCCCGCAGCCGGTCCTTGGCCCTCCGTGCCCTGAGCTCCTGCTCCTCCAGCCTCTGCGGGGCCCCAGCGAGCCATGAGCGGGGCAGAGCTAGGAGGGCCTGTTACCACACGGGGTCCCCCGAGCGGTACCGCGGCCATCCCCCCTCACCTGGATGTGAAGCCGGGCACGGTGCAGGAGGCTCAGCGTGGTGGGACGGGTCGGCTCCGCGCCCACCGGCACCTGCTGCTTCAGCCGCTCCAAGCAGCACCGGAGCTGGGCTCTCCTGCGGCCGGACGGGAGGAGACGACGCGACGGTCAGCCCGGGGGTGGGCCCGCGGGCACAGCCACCCCCTGCCCCGCCGCTCTCACCCCACGCCCCGATACCTGTGCTTCTCCAGCGCGTTGTGTACCGACCTGCGGGAGGAAAGGCCGCCGGCGATCAGCACCGGCGCCGCCGGACACCGCCATCCACCCACTCTCCCGCCGCTCACCTGACGCTGCCCACGGCCCGGCGCGACCGCGCGGGGCAGAGCGAGGCGTAGCCGTGCTCGGCCTTGGCCAGGCTGGGCGGGTCGCGGTGGTCCCGGTGCTCCAGGAACTCGGCCGCCTGGAGCAGTACCTGGATGCTGGTGGTGGCCGCGGGCTCCATGGCGGGGCGGGGGGGGCCGGGAGGGGGGCGAGGGCGCGCTCTGATTGGCTGCGGGGCGCCGCGCGCCGCTGACGTCACGGCGGCGGGCAAACAACTTCGGGCGGGAAAGCGGGTGCTTCAAATTTGAATCAGGGGGCGGGGCCTGGGCGGGACACGCCCCCACCGGGAGAGCCGCGGCCCCCGCCGTGGTTAATTAATGACCGCGCGTGGCCGCGCCCCCCGGGAGCTGCTCCCGTGTCCGCCCACGTGCGCGCCTGAGGACGCCCGGGTCGCCCCTACCGGCCCACGGGAGCCGGGCGGGGAGCGCTCACAGCCCCGCGATCCCCAGGCCGCTTGGGACACCCCCAGCCGCGCCCTCCCGCTCCCACGGGTGTTCCTACACTGGCTGCGACCACCAGCCCCCCCCTTCCCTGCCCCGGGAACCCAGTGCAACGCGGCCCAGCCAGGCGGGTTTATCTCTTTATTAAAATCCATCGGGTGCAGGCGGTGGGGAAGGGAGGGGAGGGGAGCGCCGGGCCCCCGGGCACGGCACTGCACGGCACGGGCGGCCCCGGGGCACCCGCCGTCATGTGAGGGCTGTTTGCACCTTCTCAGGCCAGGCCGCGGGGTGGGGGGGAGACTCTGCCCCGGGCCCAACAGCAGCCAAAGTTCACCTGAAAAAAAAAACCACCACGAAGCACATTTCTAGCCGGGGGGCAGGCACACGGCACAGCACGCGGTTCACTGAATGCAGGGCACGGCCACGGTGCATCGGGAGGGGCGGTCCTGCGCCCACCGTCTGTGGGGTTCTGGCCTGGTGTGAGGGGAAGTCCTACCGCCGTGTGGGGGGTCCTGCCGTCATGCCCACCCGGCTCTGCCATGAGTCATGGGGCTGAGGAGCTGCACAGCAGCCCTGGAGCAGCCCTTTGCCCCTGGTGCACGGCCTCCTGCGGATGCAGCTCTGGCAGAGGGGCTCTCACTGGTTCCGGGCGCAGCGGGACGCGGGTGAGAGGTGTGTGGTGTAGCAGTGGGTGCAGACACGCACGGGTTTGGTGTGGCCATAATGCGGCAATGCCGCGGTGTGTGGTGAGCAGCGGGCACAGAAGATCTGCCAGGAGAGGGCCAGAGCGGGGCTGAGCAGAGCTGGGTCCCTCAGGGACCCCACACGCCCCAGCCCAGCCCCATCCTACCTTCCCACAGCTGCGGCAGTGGTGCCGGCGGCGCAGCAGGGTGAAGGGTGAGCGGCAGGCAGAGCACTGGCTACACGTGCTGTCGGGCACCCACTCGGGCAGGCGGTGAGTACCTGCTGGGCAAAACCTATTGGTAAAACCCGCCTGTGCCAGCCCCCCTCACAGCCAGACTCCCTCAGCAGGCAGGATCAGCCCCAGCCTCACACCTGCCCCAGAGCCATGGCACCTGGGCAGCCCCTTACCCGCCCTCCGGAGCCCGGTAGCCTCTGTGGGGCCAGAACACAGTGGGCAGTCAGCCACGTGAGGAGCATCTGCCACACAGGAGTCATCATCCTTCTCTCCTGCAGGGACAAGAGCTGTGGTGGAACAGCCAAACCAGGGACAGGCCCTATGGCCATGTTCTCCCCATGCCTGGGGCTGTGGCCTTGTCTCACCAGGGATGGGCGCTGGGCAGGGCAGAAAGGAGCAGTCTCTCACTCTGGGGATTACTCACGGCTGGCACTCGGCTCCTCCAAGGGCTCCGCCTGCGAGGCCACGATCTTGAAGACCGTTTTCAAGATACTCCGCATGTCACTGGCAAAGTTGGTCTGGAGTTGATCTGCAACCCCTGCACCAGAAGAGGTGGGGGGTGAGGGTGCTGGGGAGCTCAGAGTGCTGGGGGGGGTCTCAAGGGTCACTCACCTGAGATGCAGACGAAGAGGGTGTGCAGCATGTCCTTGGTGCTGCTGTACCGGGAGCGCAGCTCTGAGCAGTGGGCACCCAAGGTGGCATCAACCCCTGTCCCTGGGCTGCTCGCAGGGGTCTGGGGGCTGCACAGAGGGGAGGTGACAGTTACCCCAGGGGTGGTGTGAGATGTCCTGTACCAGTGGACAGGGATCTGTCATCTCAGCCCCACTCCCTGCCCACCACACACCCCCACCGCCAGTTGGTGCCCGAGGGTCCCAGTTGTGTTGTGCAGGTGGGGGCTGGTGGTGTGGCACGAGGGACCTCCAGGAGACCAAAGGGAGCAGGGGGGTCCTCTCTGGGCACAGCTGCTCCCCACACTGGGGGAATGTCTGGATCAGAGGGATCCTCTGGTTCAGCTGTGCACAGGCTCCTCTCCAGCAGACAGAGTTCCTCCACTGACAGCACCCGCAGCAGCTCCCTGAGGCAAGAGGATGGCATCAACCCCATGTCGTGGCCCCCCTGCTGCCCCATGGCCCCACCCACTGCCTCCCACTGCATACCTGATCTTCTTCAGGAGGTTGTAGAAGGGGCTGAAGACCCGGGACATCTCCTCAGGGCTCCTCTCCAGGCTGAGGGGACCCTCGGGGTAGATGAGGAGGCCACTGTGAGGGGACAGAGCTCAACTTACACGAGGGATTGCCCAGAACCCCAGTTCCCCATGGGAAGAAGGGGCTGGTACAGGGCAGGGAACATCCCCCCTTCTCCAGGGGCTGCACCCACCTGATAATGGCCAAGCGAGGGATGGTGAACATCAACAGCGGTTCGTAGCCATCGATCATCTCCTGGGTCAGATAGCCCAGGTGCAGGGCTCTGGGGATACACACACCCCCTCATAGTGGGGCTGAGCCTCAGGATACTGCCCATCCTTGGGGTTGGGGTCCCTGCCACCCCCACGTGGTGTGCAGTGCCCTTCACTCACCTCTCCACCGTCTCACAGAACAGCACAATGATCTCCTGCTGCTTGTAGATCTCCTCAGGAGACTTCACTGCCACCAGTGAGGACACATAGCTGGAGAGATGCAGGGAGTGTGAGGCCCCTCCAGTCCTGGCACAGGCCCCCACCACCCCAGCCCTGGCCCCCACCTCAGCTCGAACTCCGCAAAGAGCCGGTCAAACTGGACAAGCACAGCCCGGACGGGCTCTGGGTAGGAGTTGGGCTGGCTCAGGCTCTGCTCCCGCAGCACTGTCCGCACCAGCTCCAGGCTGCACAGCAGGTTCCTGGCCTGGGGCCGCAGCTGTGCCCTGTCTGCCTCCTCCACCTCCGGGAAGGTCCCAGCCAGGAGACACTGTTGGGACAGGGACCATCAGGAGCCAGCACCAAGGGCAGTGCAACCCTAACCCCAGGGTCAGCTGGTGATGGGAGGCCCATCGCCTCAGGGAACCAGACCCCCCATACAGCATCCCCAGGCTCACCTCAGCAGCAAACAGCATGTGGTTCCCCAAGTTGTCCACCAAGAGCTCCTCAGGGAACTTGACCAGGTAGTCCCGGCTGTGTCGCTGCGTGGGGATGCACTCCTCCATGATCCGCTCCAGGACGGCCAGCAGGTGAGCCTGGGGAGGGCATGGATGTCACCCCTGGTGTCCCAGGGGACCAAGTCACAGCAGGGTCCCAGCTGTCCCTGTACCTGGCTAAGGTGGAGCTGGTTGAGGAGCACTAGGTACTGCTGCGGGTCCAGTTCGGCATCCAGCCCGTTGATCTCGGCCACCACCCGTGTCACCCTCTCGTCGGCAAAGAAGAACTGGGAGAGCAGGCGAGGGTCGGAGCGCTGCGGGAAGAGCAGAGATGGTGGGAGCACCCCGTGTGCTGGGCCGGGAGGATCCCAAATCCCCCAAGCGAAGCAGGGAGGTCTGGGCCCCATGGATCCACCAACACCCACTCGGGCAGGTACCGTGGGACCCTCCCACACAGCTCCTCCCAGGGAGCGCCGCCCTCCCCACCCACCCGTGCCTCAGTTTCCCCGGGGGCAGAGCAGGACGAACAAGCTCAGCCACATCCCGGCAGCGCGGGCACGGATCCGTGCGTGGCTGTAAATACCGGGAAAGTTCCGCGGGGAAACCCCCATCTTCCTCCTCCCGCTCCACCCCGGGGGACCTCCGCCGCCCTCCCCTGCGCCCGGGACCGGCGGAGCCCCCGTCCGGGGGCTCCGCCGGTCCCGGGCGCAGGGGAGAGTGGCCCCGGTGCCATCCCCTCCCCGGTCTCACCTTGGGTCGGCGGAGCCACCGGCGGAGGGCAGCGGGCAGCATGGCGCGTCCCGTGGCTCTGCCGCCGCCCGGCTCCCCGCGCCCGCCGCTCGCCGACGGGGCGGGTCGGTACCGGGCGCCGCCCGTGGGGGCGGATCGGAGCGGTGTCCGCCCAGTGCCGGCACCGGGACGAGCCGTCCGCGCCTCGACGGACCGGTTCTCTGTGATGGGAAGGGTGAGGGGTGCGCCTCTCCCGTGGGGCGGGATGGGTTTCACCGCCGGCTCCCTTTCCCTGGCTCCAATTCCCGGCTGCATTCCCGGTTATACAGTCCCGGTCCTCCTCTTTCCCGCAGCCCACCCTTCAAGGGACAGGGATACCCCAGAGATCCCCTGAGTGATCCCTGAATGATCCTGAGTGAGAGATCCCTGAATGGTGGGGGGGCACCAGGGGAGGCACTCGAAGATACCTTCGCTATGCAGGACATGGAGCGTGGAGCACAGGGATGCGGTGGGAAGTGAACAAAGCAGCTCCTCGGCGGGAGAAGAAGGCGCCGACAGGCCAAGGAAGTATCCCAGGGGGTGCTCGGGGTGCTGGGAACAGCAACCCCACCCCGGCTGTGCCGGAGAGGAGGTGTCTGCTCCAGACCTGGCACTGCTGGCCACAGGATGTGGGCGCCGATAATTCAGGTGGCTGAAAGCCTAATGGGGTGGATTCACGGGTAAAAAATCCGCGGAGGATGGTTAGGTAAACAGGGCAGTACCTCCTCGGCTTGAGGAAGTCCCTGAGTCATGGCAGCCCCGCGGTGCCCAGGCTGTGCTGTGCTGGACGCATGTGCAGGACTGGCCCTGGTGTTGGGGCTCCGTGTGTCCCCCACGGGCTCCACGTCTGGTTTCAGCTGGGTGGCATATCCTGGCTCCCGTGGCTATGGCTGTGTCCTGTGTCCCTGTGTGCTCAGCGAACCTGGAGCCCTGCCTGTCCCTCAGCTGCCAGCAGATTAAGGCACCACAATATAAGAAGGACATAAAGCTATTACAGAGTGTCCAGAGGAGGCTGCAGGGATGGTGAAGGGTCTAGAAGGGAAGCTGTATGAGGAGCAGCTGAGGTCTGTTCAGCCTGGAGAAGAGGAGACTGAGGTCAGACCTCATTAGGATCTGCAGCTTCCTCACAAAGGGCAGTGGAGGTGCAGCTCTCTGTGACCAGTGACAGGACCTGAGGAAACAGCTAGAGCTGTGTCAGAGGAGGTTTCAGTTGGATATTAGGAAAAGGTTCTTCAACTCGAGGGTGTTTGGGCACTGGAACAGGCTCCCCTGCAAAATGGTAACAGCAGCAAATGTGCCAGAGTTCAAGGAGCGTTTGGACAACACTCAGACACAGGGTGGGATTTTTGGGTGGGTCCTGTGCAAGGCCAGGAATCATAGACTGACTTGAGTTGGAAGGGACCTTAAAGATCATCTTGTTCCATCCTCCCGTTTAGGGTAGGGACACCTTCCATTATCCCAGGTTGCTCCAAGCCCCGTCCAACCTGGTCTTGAACATTTCCAGGGATGGGGCAACCACAGTTTCTCTGGGAAACCTGTGCCAGTGTCTCACCACCCTCACAAGGAACAAATTTTTCCCCAGTACCTAATCTAACCCCCCTCTCTTTCCCTGCGGACCCACGGAGTCGCACCCCGGTGATGCAGCCCGGGATGCGATCACGGTCCGCGATCGCCGGCGCCCTTTAGGACCCGGGGCAGCCGCTGCCGCCGCTCCCCCCGCCCGCCAGGGGGCGCAGCGCCGCCCTCTCGCAAGATGGCGGCGGCGCCTTCACCTCGCCGAGCGCTTCCCCCCTCCCTCCTTCCCGCGGGCAGGGGCCGGACGGGCCGCGCCGCCATATTGGCTGTTGTCCTGGCTGCGGCGGGCTCGCCATGACTCGCCGGCGGAACAAGGCGGCAACGGCGGCAGCGGTGGCAGCGGCGGCAGGCGGCTCCGGGCCCCGCCGCGACAGGGTGGCGGGTCCCGACGTCGGGCCTCCCCCGCCGCCACCGCCACCGGAACCGCCCGCCCCGCCTGAGGTGGCGGCGGCGGCGGCGGGCAGCGGCGGGGAGCCGGGCAGAGGCAGCGCGCAGGTACCGGGGGAGCGCCGCGGCCGGGACGACGCTGGCGCTGAGCGGGTTTCATTCGGGGCGGGGATGGGGCCCTGCCCCTGCTCCCCCCACTCCCCGGGCCCTGCCCCATCCCCGCCCCGAACCCCGCCCCGGAGCATCCCTGCGGATGGGGCTCGGAGCGCTCCCACAGCGCCCCGCGGGAGGGCCCGGCTCCGCCACTGGGCGATAGCAGGTGTCTGCAGCATCTCCACCCAGCGCGCCTGTCGCTGCCTGAGATCGCTGGACACACCTGGCCGCCGCCACCTGCCCCGGGCGGTGGGCAGGGACCCGGGGGTGGGCGCCGGGGGTGGATGCACTGGGTGGGTTGGGGACAGCCCTGGTGTCGCTCGCCGCGGTGGCGGTGTCAGCTGGGACACGGGGTGGGCTGGCAGCCCCTTTCCTCGCCGTGGGTGGGCAAGGGGCTGTGCCCCCGTTCTGCTCTCCTTGGCCTCTGACCTTTGCTTCACCTTGAGCCTGCAGACGCCATCTGTTTGGCAGCAGCGGTTCAATGCGCGGCTCATTGTGGCGGGGCCCCGCCGCGCCGGCAGACAATGGGGGCCCCCTCGCCCGCGCCACGCCGGGCTCGTCACGGCTGTCAGGGCTCCAGCGAGCCCGCGGGATGCAGCCCAGCTCCTGCAGGGAAGTCCCAGCCTGGCTGTGCCCCTGCGGTGGGAGAGCAAAGTGGCACGGGGGGCTGCACCCCACCCCGGTGCATCGGCACCGCTGGCTGTGCAGAACAAAGAGGCGGGAGGGAGGGCTTGGGGCTCTCGGGTGACACCGTGGGGGGGTCTGTGCTGGGCGAGGATTGAGAGCTGAAGTCACCAGAGCCACCCTTTATATCCCCGTATTGGATTTCTGTGGGTCTTGCTCTGCCGTTCAAGTTCTCTTGGTCCCACTGTACCAGAGGTAGTGGTGGGAGTTGCTGCTGCTGCGTATCAGCCTTGCTTGGTGGCAGGGCTGGCTCCTTGGCACACTGTGATCTTCCCAGAGGTCCAGAACGCTCCCATCTGGCACGTGGCAGGCTGGCAGCAGCTGGGCAGCCTGAGGCTGCTCTGCTCCAGTGGGAGAAGGTGCAATGCCACATGTAGCCTACAAGAATTTCCCTGGTTTGGTGTCAGCATCCTGAGGTCTCGCTCGCTGCCTCATCTGTCCCACGTCTGCACCGCACAACACCTGGGTGACTCATGGTCCGTGTGTCCTTCCTTAGGTGCTGCCCACCACCAACCAGTCCGTGCAGACGTGCTGCCTGCTCTGCCACCGGGAGCGCAAGGACTGGGGAGGGCCGTCCCACAATGGACTGGTTTCCCCGGGCGAGAGGCTGCCACCGGACTTCGTGCCAACGCTCGTGCAGAACCTCCTGGGAGAAATGCCACTGTGGATCTGCCAGAGCTGCCGGAAGAGCGTGGAGGAGGAAGAGCGGCGGGCGGTGCAGGAGCAGGCCCTGGCGGTACGCGGGCACAGAGCTGGGGTTGGAGTGCCAGGGCTGCAGCTGCAGGAGCGTGGCACTGCGCACCCCGTGGCACTGGTAGGGCGTGTGGATCCCCTTCTTGCTCTGAGCTGAGTGCCCCAGACATCCCAGCCTACACTGCCTTGCCCAGGGTTGCTGGTGGCTCAGCAGGCAGAGGCTGTGGTGGGGCAGTGCATGGTGCCATCGAGGCTCGTCCAGCAGGCAGGCTTGGCTTGGAGCTGCCAGGCTGGAGAGGCTGACAGCGCCGCTGCTTCCCTGTCAGCACTGCTCCACTGCGTGTCATGCTGCATCCCCTGGCCCCAGGGCTGATCCCTGTGTGGTGCAGGTTTACCCAGAGACTGTTGGGGCAAGTGCCTGCCTGTGTGTGGAGCTCAGATAGAGGAGCTCCCTCCTGCCTGGCTTCATTTAACCCTGGCCTGGTGTGAGTGGGACCAGAGCAGGCATGTGGCCTTGGGAATGGCCTGGGAGTCAGGCTTTGTTGGTGTTTGATGGACAGGCTGTTTGTCACCCCCAGGAGAGTGACAGAAGTGATTCCTGTGAGCTGAGCACCTGCTGCAGTGGAGGGTCTCAGTGCTGACATTCAGGGGCCAAGGGCCTCCTCGCACAGCTGCTTCACTCTGTGTTTTCGTTGGCAGGTCTCGTTGTCCCACACATCCTGCAAGTCACAGTCTTGTGGGGGTGGCTCACACTCCTCTTCGTCCTCCTCCTCCTCTTCTTCTTCCTCGTGCCACGGGAACTCAGGGGACTGGGACCCCAGCTCATTCTTGTCTGCTCACAAGCTCTCGGGCCTCTGGAACTCACAGCACACCAATGGGGCCACCCAAGGCAGCCCCATCGGGGCCCCACCAGCTACACTAGGTGAGTTGAAGCTGGCCATGGGGTTGAGCAGAGCTTACTGCCCAGTTCTTGGCTTAGATGGTTTCCTTATAGGAAAGGGTGGGCAGGCTGGGCCTCTGACTCCCAGTGCCAGCACCATGCCTGGGCCCCTTTGCAGTGGCAGAGGGATTTGGGCCCAGCTCCGCTTTCCTTCCAGGCGACAAGCACCCCGGCCTCGCTCTGTCTGCAGAGTGTGCCAGCCCCGCGCCGGCCGTGGCGCCAGGGCTCAAGGCCTGTCCCTACAGCCACGCGGCCTCCACCACCTCCAGCAGTGCCGCCCCGGGCTCACCTCTGCCTACCTCACTCGACTTCTGCAAGACGCTGCCGAAGCAGTTCAAAAGTTTGTGCCGGAGGGCCACCCCGCCAGGTGCGTGCCCACGGACAGGGCCAGCCACAGCCTCGCAACCTGCTGCTCCAGACCATTTCCCCTTGCCCTGCTCCTTGTGGGGCAGGGCTGAATCCTGTGGGGGAGGCACAGTGACCTTGAGTCCTCGTGCAAGCAGGGATGGCTTTTGTCCCGAGTGCTGCGCTGCCTGTGGGGGAGGCAGGGTTTGTCCCGTGGAGAAGCGGCCTGTAGAAAGGCAGTGGGTGGCACTGAGTGGGACCTTGGCCTGCGCAGCACGGCCAGTGTCTGACTGTCTCTGGTCTTACCCCTCTGCAGGTGAGGCCTTCCACTCCTCAGAGCATCATCAGCACTCCGACCTCACTGCTCCTCCCAACAGTCCCACTGGCCTCCCCTCCCAACCACCGGTGCTGATCCCCTCCAAGCAGACACCTCCGCACCCGGGGCCCTTCGGCTCCCCTCCACACATCCCGCTGGGCTCCTCCTCGCAGGCCGCGCTCT